ATAAGCGGAAGAAGTGGGAGGAGCATCTGAAGACTTGCAACCTCACCGCATAACTTTGCACCACGTCAACCGATTTCGATAATTCTTTTTGCAACGGAAAGGTAGTATCTCAGAGGTGGTCCCATATTAATTTAGTTTAGATACGATCATTGGATCATGAAATATATAGATATATATATATTTTTTTTAAGTCGTTTTTTTTTTTTTGCTAAAAATTACTTGTAGGGGCTGCTACCCTTTACTAGAGAATTACCGAGTAAAATTGTAGTTTGACAGTTCCACAGGTTTTAGTCCGAAGTTCAAAGGAACAGACTAAGTATGAAATTACAGGAAGTCGTTGCCGTACGCAAGAATTTCTCTCACTGGGAACACTTTTGAGCGAGTAAGAGGGCAATTCTTCCCAGTCAGAAGGTACAGGATTTTTGCCCGAAGTTTTTCTTCCTGCAAGTTCATGAAAAGTGTCAAACGATAGGCATTTGTCAACAAACAGAACGCGGCGCGATCAATTATGGAAGTAAACAACGAAATATTTAAATATACGCAATTATTCTAAATTGTAGTTTAATAATTATTTATTGATTTTCAGCCAAATCAGTGTTCTACCAATGACATCTAAACAAACCGACTGACGTTTGTGCAGGAAATAGTGCTTTTTGTGTTCCCGTACACTTCTGTAACTGTTAAGCTCTTAATCTCCCTTGAGAGAGTAACATTGTAGTTTGACAGTTCCACATGTTTTTGCACGAAGAATACTGGAACAAACTAATTATGTCGCTCGTACATGTTTCACAATAACATATGTAGTCTGTTCCTTTGAACTTCGGACTAAAACCTGTGGAACTGTCAAACTACAATTTTACTCTCAAGTGAGAGTGAAAAAAGAACAGATGCAGAAGTGTACGGGAACGCAAAAAGCACTATTTCCTGTAAAAAAGTCAGTCGGTTTGTTTACATGTCATTTGTACAACACTGATTTGGCTGAAATATTACTAAATAATTATTAAAATATATATTCAAACATTTCGTTGTTTACTTCCATTTTTTTTACAAATATAAGGTTCTTAGCTTTCACCGCTTTTTGTTTTTGATTGCACAAACAAATCTGATCGTTTGACACTTTTAATGGACTTACAGGAAAAAAACTCCGGACTAAATCCTGTAACTTCTAACTAGGAACAGTTGCTCAGTTACTCTCAAAAGTGTTCCCACTTATATGTTTTATGTCAATAGGAACGACATCCTGTAAGTTCGGACTATATCCTGTAAACCGGACTGCTATTGGAACAGACTAACTAAGACACTGTCGAATAATTGAAATCAAATCATGGATCAAATCTATGTATGTCAACACAAGCAGCACATGCGACCATTCCCACGACAGCCGGTTCTACGTACCGGAATGACTCGGGTTTCACCCGACCAAGGGCTGTTGTTTCGGCGATCTAACCCCGTTTTATTTATTTTATTTATTTATTCATTTATTGACAGCCTTTAAAGGCCTATAACAAGTCTGAAAATTTACAATATTTGCTTACTATTTTATTTGGTACAATTTTGGGTTTATAGTTTTTATATTGATATATGCATACATTACATCACAGGATCACAATCATACATGAAAACAATATTCTTATTTCACTACATATTTTGTTCTTACACATTTTTTTGAGAGGACTATCCTAACATTTATCCTGTACAAATATATATACATTTAAACAAGGTAATTTTATTTATTATATTAAATTAAATTATAAGTGTGACCGTGGCTGTCGGAATGGACGGGATCCCGTTTAGGTCGGCGAAGTATCTCAGAAGTTGTCCGTCCATAGGGC